CCTGTTTCTGCTTCCACTCAAAATAGGCATTTTCAAAATGATATAATAAATTATTTGTGGAGTATTTTGAGCTGAAACATCAGACACATTCTGGGGACACCAGAGACTTATTATATATTGTAAAAAGGGGCATAATATGTCTCCTTCAAAAAGCTTAAATGAAAAGGTGAAATGTTTAAGAAATAATCTTAAGTTGAAGAAGTTCTAAAACTTTTAAAATTTAAAACTTGATTGAAAATAAAGCTAAATAGAAAAAAACTAATTCATATTACAAACATATACCAAAATAAAATCACACACAACAAAATTAAAATAAAAGTAAAAAACAAAAGCTAATTTAAAATAATAAAAAAAGACTATAATAGTATATAAAAAAAAATACTAAAATAACACTGCAGAAATGTGATGATGTCTAATGGTGACCATTGACCCTGTAAACCATGTTGTTTCATTAGCCTTGAATGTATCAGCAATAATCTCTAAAAATAAAACAACTTACTGATACAATGTATCACCTTAGGACTCAGTGTTCTCTGGAAAAAACACTTTCTGGTCTTTAACTTCCTAACTTCCACAAAATCAATTTTTTGGATTGCGTTTGTCCTAAATTTTGTGCAGTGAGTGTGCAGTGTTGTTGTGCGGTGTTGTACATAAGAAAGTCTATTTGTGTTTATGCAATCTGCTGACTAGAGTTTCTCATTTCCCAAGAGCCGCTAACATCAGCTCAGCTGACCGAGGTGTTCCTGTTTCCCGTGTTATCGGTGTCAGTCTGTATTTTCCTGTCGTCCAGTTGCAGGAAGTGTGGAGTTTGCTCTTTCTGTCTTCCTGCGGCCAAGAGTTTATCCATCTTTCACTCTCTAGGGTCCGTTTCGCTCTCGCTCTTTTACTATCTTCTGTCATTGTAAAAGATCCTGGCTCTCAGCCCTCGTGTGTTTCTCTTGATTTAGCATTCCTGCTGTGTCAGGGTCACGCCGTCTCGCTATTGCGTGAGACTCACATTCTGAGTTACGGAAAATGCATCTTCTAATTTTATGATAACTTGCAGATTTTTCTCTGGATCTTTGACTTCTGGTCTCAGATATCAGTACTTGGCATTAAGGGTTTGTTCAGATCCCTCAGACTAGTCTTAGTTAAACTAATTTACAAGGTTTATTTAGTCAATTTTGTTGCATTTATTAATGCAACGTGTTTCTGTGTTCAATATGTGTTTTGAGTGTCAGTTGGACAACTTAAGTTCATGCATACGGAGATTAAACTGATTATAGAGCATGCTAGCACACACACTGGGTCACCGTTACTGAGCTCTAAATCAGATTAAGACGCACACACATCGCCACCCAGCCGTATGATTTAAGCATATGTAACTTTGCTTGCACAGGAGATTGATTCAGATTTACCGAGTCACAGACGTCTGGCAGGAATGTCCGGCAGATTAAACTACATGTTACCGCATGTAAAGCTAGTTTAGGCTAGTTCGTTCTGGGTAAGCAGTGTTTATTATCGGTCGTGGGAGTTTGGTTTGCATTGACACGCTGTGTGCCCAGTTGCTCCGGATCGCAAAAGAATGGCCGAATCGCTTTAAGATGCGGTCGCCACCTTCACGCGTGCTTTGTGTGACTAACCGCAATGTTATAGTGAAACGAGGGTGAGTATTTGAGGGTTTTGTGTGTTTTTGTTATGTCGAATATATAAATATAAAAATATTTTTTTTATTGTGTGTATGTAAATACTTAGGTCTTAGTTTGTCCTTCTTTTACACCGTTCAAAAGTTTGTGATCGGTACAATTTGTTAATGCTTTTGAAAGAATTCTCACCAAGGCTACATTTATTTGGTATAAGCACAGTAAAATGCAGCAATATTTTGAAATATTATTATGATTTAAAATAACTTTTTTGTATTTGAATATATTTCTGTAATGACAAAGCTGGATTTTCAGTCTTCAGTGTCACATGATCCTTCAGAAATCATTCTAATATCATTTGCTGCTCAAGAAAATTATTATTGTTATGCTGAAAACAGTTGAGCTGTTTCGTATTTTTGTGGAAATTGTGATGCATTTTTCATGATTTTTTGATGTATAAAAAGTTCAAAACAACAGCATTTATTTGAAATAGAAATCTTTTGTAACATAAATGTCTTCACCGTCACTTTTGATCAATTTAGTGTGTCCTTGCTAAATAAAAGAACAAAACAAAAATTCTGACCCTAAACTTTTGAGCGGTAATGCATTAAAAGTACTTTAAAAGCGTGGTCACGGAGTTCACCAATCAAGCGCATGCACTGGCCCGTCTGTCAGGAAACCAGTGATCCAATCAGCTGTTAATAGACTGGAACTTTTGTGATGTTTTTCATCATTAATGTTAAGTTTTGACGTGACCTGCTCATGGTCACTGTCCTACTCTGAGTCTGTTCACCTTCATGAGCACTTCTGAAAACATTGGCATTGTGCTGTGGATTGTTTAGGTTTTGTGCTGTTCTTTGTTTAATCTAACTGGAATTCTTCAGACGTTTTTTAGGGCTGCTGGGAGATTAAAGTGAATTATCAGATTATCTTCCTCAAGACAAACTGTTCAAGTTCTGCCTCACACAAAAACACATAAGAATGTTTTTCAAGGAATTTGTTCTGTATTTTTATTGTAAGAATAAAAAAAGAGCAGACTTTGATCAAACAATCAATCAGTTGAAATTGTAAAGCTATTAGAGAGACTATAAATATGATGTGATAAATATTATGAAACAATATATACTTGATCAAAAAAATGAGACAATTAATACTTTGATTCAGCAAGGATGCATTAAATTGATCAAAAGTGACAGTAAAGTCATTTGTAATGTTACAAAAGATTTCTATTTCAAATAAATGCTGTTCTTTTGAACTTTGTTCATCAAAAAAAAAAAAAAAAAACCTGAAAAATTGTTTCCACAAAAATATTAAACAGTTTTCAGTACTGAAAATAATAGTAAATGTTTCTTGAGCAGCATATTAAAATGATTTCTGAAGGATCATGTGACAAGACTGGAGTTATAATGCTGAAAATTCAGCTTTGATCACAGGAATAAATTAAATATTAAAATGCATTAAAATAGAAAATAGTTATTTTAAATAGTAATAATATTCTACAATATAATTGTTTTTACTGTATTTTTTATCAAATAAATTTTAAAAACATTTTAAAATCCTACAGACCCCAAACTTTTGAGATTCATTTTTAGATTTATGGCCACAAAAAATAATAGTAAATGTTTCTTGAGCAGCATATTAAAATGATTTCTGAAGGATCATGTGACAAGACTGGAGTTATAATGCTGAAAATTCAGCTTTGATCACAGGAATAAATTAAATATTAAAATGCATTAAAATAGAAAATAGTTATTTTAAATAGTAATAATATTCTACAATATAATTGTTTTTACTGTATTTTTGATCAAATAAATGCAGCCTTAGTGAGCATAGAGACCTTTTAAAAACATTTTAAAATCCTACAGATCCCAAACTTTTGAGATTCATTTTTAGATTTATGGCCACAAAAATAAAAATGTATTTTAATGTATTAATTTGCTACAAACTTTCACCATTGTTTCAATTATAGAAACTATACTAAAAAAAAAAAAGATTATATTAGCCTGGTATTTTCAACAGCATTTAATAAACCCAATCAGTGGCTAGATAACTCATTATATTCCATGTGTTTCTGTTATAGGTTCACATTGGGCTCTGATTTGAATGGCCACACCCTCGTGGCCGTGATTGGAGGAGAGGAGGAGCACTTTGAGGATTTCGGTGAGAGTAACAACACTTCAGACCTGCTGCTGGCCAATCGGGAGGATGGAGGGGTGGGGCCAGAGGGGGAGGGAACTACAGAGCCACACCCAGACAGCCCACTGCCCCGCCCACTGATGCTGCTGTCGCCTAGGTAACACACAACAAACACAAACATATCCTACAAATAGCGGATAAAAACGTTTTCATACTGCTTAAGTATTGTATAGCTTATACACTCCAAATATAGAACACAGTGTGCCATTATTCTTTAAACTTGGAAAGTATAAACATAGGCACTGTAAATGTTTATCTGGGCTGTACTGCATTTGCAGCTTGACACAAATAGAAATACACTATTTCTAGTTTCCACACAGTGAGAAAGAGAAAGTGAGTCAGCGCAGCATCGAAGGTCATGTGCATAATGAGACATGGTAGAGAGACTTCCTGACCACAGACAACAGTCTCATTTACAAACCATGTGTGTGATAGACAAAACAAAACAAAACCGAACGTGTGTGTCTGTAAGATGGATTGAGATGTTATGATCCCTCTGAGCAGTGTGTGTATGTGTTAAAAGGTAAACCGCCATGATGTCCTGCTGACTGCTCTAATATTTCTCTAGTGAGGTGTTATGATCAGCGGGTAAAGGTCGAGTTGTTGTGGTTATTGTTTAACTGCAATGCTGGTGATGTCAGGTGTATGCGATCCAGCACACTCCTAGACACTAGAGAAGAGAGCATGGAAACACACTCTCAAACCTGTTGAAATAAACACACACACAGCTCCTGCTGCGTTACTCCTGCACTGTTGTGCTCACCTCTGTGTAGATCCTCCTCCGTCCTTCACTTTCTCAATTCAGTGTTCCTCGTTCTCTCCCTCCCTCTGCTCATCACTGAACACTCGCGCACTCCTCATTTCTCCTCTACTCATTTCTTCTGATTTATTTTTGTATTTATTTCTCCCGTCGCGTCTTCTCCTCTCTTCTGATTTCTCCTCTGCTCATTTTTTCTTATCTTCTACTAATGTCTCCTCTTGCATCTTCACCTTTCTCCTCATTTCTTCCATCATATCTTCTTTGCTCATTTCTCTTGATTTATATTCTATTTCTCCTAACGTTTCTTCTCCTCTCCCCTGATTTCTCCTGTCCTCTCCTCATTTCTTCTTCTCCTACCCCTGCTCATTTCTCTCCTCATTTCTCCTCTTCTCTGCTACTTTTGCCTTATTTATCCTCTACTAATGTCTCATTTTATATTGTCCTTTCTCCTTATTTCTCCTGTTATATCTTCTCTCCTCATTTCTGTACTCCCCTGCTTATATCGACACTCCTCTGATCATTTCTACTGATCTATCTTTTACTCCTTCCTCCTGTCATATGTTCTCTCTTCATTTCTCCTCTCTCCTCTCCTCTACTCTTTTCTCCCCCCCTCTACTAATTTCTCCTAATTTTTTCCTCTCTCCCACTCGTTCACCCTGTCGTGCCTTCTCTCCTCTGCTCATTTCTCATTTCTCCTTCTTCTGCTCATTTCTCCTCTCCTCATTTCTACTGTTGTTTCTTATCCTCTCTCCTCATTTCCTCATTTTTCGCCGTATCTCATTTCTCCTCTCCTCATTTCTACTGTTGTTTTTTCTCCTCCTCATTTCTCCTGTTGTATCTTCTATCTCCTTATTTCTCCTCTCCTCTGCTCATTTCTCCTTGTTTGTCCTCTATTCTACTGATTTCTGTTCTCCGTCTCATTTCTCCTTTCCTTATTTCTTATCTCCTCATTTCTACTATCATATCTTCTCCTCTTTCCTTATTTCTCCTCTCCTCTGCTCATTTCTTCTCTGCTCTTTTCTCCTCTCCTATTAATTTCTCCTCTCCTCCAACCATTTCTAATTTCTCCTCTCGCCTACTGATTTCTCCTGTTGTATCTTTTCTTCTTTTCTCATTTCTCCCTTACTTCACCAATTTCTCTTAATTTCTCCTCTTGCCTACTCATCCTACTCCTTCCCTCTGCTCATTTGTCTTTTCCTCTGCTCTTTTCTTTTCCCCTCATTTTCCCCATTGTATCCTCTCCTCTCCTCTCCTCTCCTTCAGTCGGAGGCGCTGGAGTTTTTCTGCACTCACTGTCATAAGCAGATCAGTCGTCTGGAGGATCTGTCCACGCGACTGCAGTTGCTAGAGATGAATAGGTAACACGCCTGCAGCATGTGCACGCCTCCCCCATGTGTGTGTTGAGTTTGACCACTGTACACGCACACACTCACCGTCTGCATGTGTGTGCTTCATAAGCATGCAGGCATCCGTACAGTGTTGCATGACTCGTGTGAAGGCTCCGTGTTTGTACATTCTGTAGGTGAAGTTTGTGGTGAACATAGATGCTCTGCTGTTGATGCTGTGGTGTGGTGTGTGTTGTGTGTGTATTTGATGCATGCACAATAGTCTTTAAGTGCTTTTGAGATAAATTTTACCAATATAATACAGGCTACATAATATAAATACAAGACAGTGTTGATAGCTTAGAAGTCACAGGTTAACAAGTTTCTTAAAGAGACAGTTCACTCAAAAATATCAATGCTGTCTTCATTTGCTTACCTATATGACTTTCTTCTTCTGTACAACACCAAAAAAACATATATTTCATGTCCAGGGAGCTCTCTTCCATAGAACGACTGCATTCATTGACCAACGGATGTATAGATTTCACAATTGAGATTTGAGAGCTATGGTGAATGGGGCTGTTTTTCAGTAAAGTTTTGGTCTTATTTGGTCTATCGTATGACTTTAGAAGACTTGGAATATAGCATAAAAGTCATAAAGTCTAGTAGCATAAAAGCATAAAAGTCATAAAGTTAAAATCTACGGGTTTGGAATGACTTGAGTTTTCATTGTACTGTACCTTTAAGAACTGTATTACATTGTGTTAGCATTCTACCCGAGTTTGCATAAAATATTAAATGTTATGTTGCATTGGTCAGTTTTTCCAAAATCAGGAAAGAAAAATAGCCTTTTCCTAAATTTGGAAACAATTTCTCCAACTTTAAATTGTTAACATATTAAAATATGTTATTTTGTTTAAAAGATCATGGAAAATCCTGGCTTGTCTCAAGCGGCAGTAGGGAACATTTGATGAGGGTCTGTTTTTTGATTCTGAATAGAATAGACAAAGCCATTTCTCTGGGTTCAGACTTGCGCAACAAGAACAGAATCTCTTTTCACGCATCCATGTTACACCTCCATAAATACAGTGTGTTTATTTCCGTGTGCTGTGAGGTCATTACCATTGAAAGAAGAGCATTGATTCAGCCTTCAACTTTAGCGCTTCGCTGAGTGTTTTTTTGACCTGCGGTTCACAGGTCACGGATGGAACGAGAGTTTTTCCTCTTTTCCCGCTCTCTCTTCCTGACTCGTTTCCTGTTTTTTCTCTTTTTTTTATAGTTCCAGCAAGAGGCTGTCCAGTAAGAAAGCAGCAAGGTGAGATCCTCCCTCTCAATGCACCAAATAGTTTTAAGGACAAAATGACAATGGAAGTCTTTTGTGATGTTTCGTGTCATTTTGGATGCTTTTTCTGCTCACTTAAATTTTTCAGAAAACAAGACTTGCATCTTAAGTAATTTTGCTTGCAAAATTAATAAGACTTAATATCTTGCAAATATTGCAAGTAAATGTATCTTCAGTCAAGAATGTTTAGAAAACGAGAAAATACTGAGGAGGAACATCATTTTTTGCAGTGTTCTTGGTCGACTATGTTTAAGTTTGCTGGTCCACCAGCAAGAATAAAAAACAGGCTGGACCAGCATGGAAATTCATGCTGGTTTATGGTTCAGCAGGGAACATGTTGAAATGTTTGTGTGTTTTTCAGACACTTGCAGCAGTCTGGCACTCTGGATGTCATGGGAGATCTGACTCAAGACATTTTGAACCTTGCGGATCGTGACATCACAGACAAGGTTCAGAAACTAATATAGAAATTTTGTCAAACTGGTTCAAATGATGCATTTGATGTGGATTGGGTTGCTAGTTTTGTCATCAAATGGCAAAAAGTTATTTAAAATGTTAATATTACCATGCTACAATATCTTTTCAACTTTATTTATATATCTCTTTATACAGACCAGATCGTTTCAAAGCAGTTTCACAGTAATAAACAGGAAAATAACACAATCAATGATGCTACAAATATGAGACAAGTTCAATAATGACAGCAGAATTTGAATTTAAGTCAGTTCAATGTTGATTTAATTCAGTTCAATAACTGTTAAGTTGATTGATTATGAAAAAAGTTCAGTTCAGCTATAAGCAGCTCAATAGTGTCATTATTCACCTCAAATCAGTTTAATGTTGATTAAGTTCAGTTAAATAAGTGTTGATGTCGCAAAATAAATCCATTACATTTTTTCTGCTACATTCTCAGTTTCTGTGCATCAAAATTATGCATTCTTTTTGTAACATGTTTATTAAAATAAAACTAGGTTTTTAGTATGCAGTAACAGCTTGATATTATGACAGTTTAAATTAATAACGATACTTTTGTTGGAATATGTTACTGGTTTAATTTAGATCTATTTCAACAGATGATTCCAAGACTCTTTCAGTTTTGACAAACTTTCATTTGTTATCCAGCTAGATAATGTTACCTTTGTGGCATTTAAATCAGCAAAATTTGCAACAGCTATATTTAGTTTAAAACAAATAAAACAATTTTTTTTTAACATTACGCTATTCACTCATAAAGCAGCTCAGTTCAGTTAAAGTTTTGTTCTCATCCGACTGTAACAGTGCAGTCAAAAATGCAAAATTATTAACATGACATGGACATAATAGAAAAACTGATGTTTTGTGAATGCGAGAGGGATTTGGATGAAGGCTGTCTGTCCTGCAGGTGTTGCTGTTGGAGAAGCGCGTGTGCGAGCTGGAGAAGGACTCGTCGGAGAGCGAAGAGCAGCATGCACGCCTGCGGCAGGAGAACCTCACTCTCGTCCATCGCGCAAATGCTCTGGAGGAACAGCTGAAGGAGCAGGAGCTGCGCGCGGAGGACGACTTACTCGCGCACACACGTAAACACAGAAATGCTCTGAACAAACTCCAGCGAGAGAGAGACCTGGAGATCGAGAACCTCCAGGCCAGGTGAGGGCGGACCGAAGATACCTTTAATGATTAATGTAGAATGGGATTTTGAGAAAATTTGCTGTGAGCAACCAACAACATGTTTTTTGCATGTTTTATTTATATCTAGTTTGGACAAAATTGCAACAGACTTGTCAGGGTTCAACCAGATTTTTTTCTGCTGGATTCGCACTTTCCCTGCCACAAAAATTATAAATAATTTATAATATTATAATATTAAAATTACATTTTTATATGTCCCTGAAAAATATTTATTAAATTACATTTTCTAGGTTTTTAATATGCAATACCAGCTTTATATTAGGAATAGCAAAACGTTACTGGTGAGCAGTGTTGGGTAAGATAAAAAAAGTAATGAATTACTAGTTACTAATTACATCTTCAACAGTGTAATTAAATTACTCTACAAATTACTCTCTCCAAAAAAGTATTTAAATACTTATTACTAATTACTTTCTAAATCCTATATCAACCTCGTCAAGTTAATGATACAAGAATAAACATGAAACGGTTCTTTTAATTCTTTCAAATAACCATTATTCTGGTCACACTTTAGATTAGAGTCCAGTGCTCACTATTAACTAACTATTAACACTGACTTTTGCCTCAATATACTCCTAGTTACTGCTTATTAATACTTAGTAAAGTAGTTGTTAAGTTTAAGAAGGAATTGGGTAGGATTAAGGATTTAGAATAAGGTCTTGCAGAATAAGACATTAATATGTGCTTTTTAAGTAATAATAAATAGCCAATATCCCAGTAATATTCATGCTAATAGCCAACTAGTTAATAGTGAGAATTGGACACTAAAGTATTACCAATATTCTTATTAACTCACCAAAGTATTTAAAGTGAGAAGGGTACATAAAAAGCATGCATTTTAAGGTTAGACTTTAAATTTTGATGTTAAATCCACTGTTGTATTGTGTATAAATGTTCTACAGTCTATACACAGTATTAAGTTCAATTACATAAGAAGTAACTAATTAAATTGCAGAAAAAATAAGAGTAATCCCTTACTTTACTTTTTCAAGGGGAAAGTAATTCAATTACAGTAACTAATTACTTAGTAATTAGTTACACCCAACACTGCTTTTTTTTTTTTACCCATTTTAACTGATGATTCCAAGATTATCTTTTTCTTTTAATTTGGATAAATCTTCATTTATATTATCCAGGTATATCATGTTACTTTTTGCACAATTTGCAACCACAACATTCCGTTTTATTGCAAAAAACAATATTTAAATTGTGAAACATTTACAAGATCAAATGAATTCAGAGACTTGCCTGTTTATCGGCTGTGTATTTCCTAAGTCTTGCACCACATACTGTTAAGCACATTTGGGGAGGTGTCATTTTATTAACAGTCCTCCTGAGAAAGTCATTAGCTCAGGTACAGAGTCTTATAATAGTAGAGAAATATGAAGACATATGCATCACATGCAACAAACACGGTTTCTCACTGTTCATATATTCCAGGATGATTATAGTGTTGTTATTGTTAACTAAAACTAATAAAATGTAAAATAATAATAATAATAAATAACATGTTTTTAATTTACACAAAGCTGAAATATTTTTTTTAAACTTAAAAAATTTAGAAATGTTGCTTTGGCAACTAAGTGAGTTAAAGTAATAAAATTACTAAAATTAAAGTTGAAATAAAAATAAATTAAAGCTACATATAAATATTTTTAAAAACTATAACATTACTAAAACAAACTGGAAATATAAAAATAAAAGCCAGTTCAAAATGTTGATAAACAGTATATAAATAATGCTTAAAATAACCCTACAGCTGAACAAATTCAAGACAGCTTTAATGGTTTCTGTGTTATTTTGTCCAACTCTTCTGCGTGAGGATAAGATGTTTGCCATCTGCCATCTAGTGGAAAACAGCATAAATTCAATTTGATTGGTTTGGTTTGAAGTAGCTCTGAGATTACTTGGCTCGACGTTTAATATAATCTGGCTGTGTTAACATGACTTTTGTTTTCTCTCACCCAGTATTGTGTTTGAATGTTTTCATTGTGCGCTCTGCCCCAAAAGAAAATATTATGGTGCATTTTTGTCTGTGTGCCCGTGTGTGTTCAGGTTGCATCAGTTGGATGAGGAGAACAGTGAGCTGAGGTCATGTGTTCCCTGTCTGAGAGCCAACATCGAGAGACTGGAGGAGGTACCAACACACGCAGAGTCTCATACACGTCTGTAGATCACATACAGAGTCCAACATGACCTGTTTGTCACATCTGCCAATGCTGAGTGAATTAAGAAGAATTAATGACCATCAAACCTATTTTTACATTATTTTGATTCATTGTTAAAGTCACTTGTTAATAATAAAAAAATAGAAGTCCAAACGATGTCTAAGATGGAGTAATTTCTTTCAGGAAAAGAGGAAACTTCAGGATGAGGTAGACGACGTCACAGATCGACTGAACGAAGAAATCGAATCTCGCAGGAAAATGGCCGACAAACTGAGCCATGAACGTCACACAAACCAGAAAGAGAAGGAGTGCACTCAGGGGGTGAGACGTCTTCTGTTTGTCTTTATAGGTGCGGTCACATGGTTGTTCATCACTGCCATGGCTGTTAATGGCTTCTCTGTGTGTGTAGTTGATAGAGGACTTAAGAAAGCAGCTGGAACACCTGCAGCTGTTTAAGTTGGAGACTGAAGTGAGAAGAGGCCGATCGGCCAGCTCCGGCCTGCAGGAATACAACACTCACATGAAAGAGAACGAACTGGAGCAGGAGATACGCAGACTCAAACAGGTATAAACACACTCTTAACTGGTAAGAACTGACTTAACCTGTTAACCCACATCTGGATGGCAGCACTCTGAACGCTCTTAGTTTGCACGTGTCAATGTTTACAAATAGATTAAATAAAAAGGGACAAAATTAATCTTGACAAACAATATATCATTCTAAAGGTCTAAGCCTCAAGCATCGACAATAGATCGCTGTTTTTCAATGGAAAGCTTATAGATATAGTCTCAGAAAAATGGTTGCAGGAATCAAATTTTTCATGGTATCTTCTTCAGATTTGAAATATAAACTCATGAGACCTGACTTTCAACCCATTACCTTTCTGGATTGCTCCAGGACTGATTTCATGTATTTGTATATGAAATTTAAAAAAAAAAATTCAAGGCACTTCAGTGTCTATAACTTTTTATCTTTTTGAGCATTATCAACTCTGGATGATGGATAGTAAAGCCCAAAGGGTCTTCTTTCCAAAGACACCAAAACACACATTGTGTGAGTATCACACTGTTGTCAGGAACTGTTACAATTTTAAGTTAGGTAGGTCATTTTCAGCTATGAGTCCCAAAATGTGGGGTGCAGGTTAACAGGTTAAACTGGTCAACACAGACTGAAGCACAGACTTAAATAGGCTTAAAGGGGTCATACAGTGGGGGACTTTGTAGAAAACGAAGCGTTTGAGAGAGGCGGGGCATAGAGGACCTACAATAATGTACAGTATTTGAAAAATAATGTGTTTTTTGAACATTAAAGCATGTCAACATATTCTGTTACACCAAATACACAAAGTAATGATCTTTAAAAAAGCATCATATGACCCTTTTAAAACAGACTTAAAAACAGACTCAAAATGGTAAAAAGCAGATTCAAACAAGAAAAACACACTCGAACACACTTTTAAAAAAGTTTGGTAAAAACTGGTTAAAACAGATGAACCCAGACTCAAACAGCTAAAAAACAGACTTAAATGCAGAATCAGACTGGTCAACAGACTAAAACCAGACAACAACAGGTAAACACAGACTCGAATAGGTAAATGCTGATCCAAACCGGTAACAAACTTAAACAGAGACTTGTTTAAGTTTGTTGTTAATGTTAACAAAGACTTACAAAAAACAGGTAAAGGCTGATTCGAGACTCAAATTCATACTAGTCAACAAAGGAACAGGAAAACAGGAAAAACCTAAACCCCAAAGACTCAAACTGGTAAACACAGACTCCGACTGGTCAACGTAGACGTTAAACCAGGTTCAACCACAGACTCAAATGAATCCACACAGACAGAAAACAGGTAAACACTAACCCAATACTCAAACAGGTAAACTGACTCAAATTAGTCAACACAGACTAAAAAACTGGTAAGACTGACCCAAGACCCAAAGTGGTAAATATATTCAAACTGGTTAACTTAGACTAAAAGCACAGGTAAACACAAACTACTCAAATTAGTTAACAGACTAAAAAGAACAGGTAAAGACAAGACTCAAACTGGTCAACTCAGACTGGTTAACACAGACGGACTGTGTTGGCTAATTAGTCAACACATACTAAAAAACAGGTAAAGACTGACGCAGGACTCAAACTGCTAAACAGACTGGTCTTAAACTGGTAAACACAAACCCAAAAGACTCACAGTTAAACAGACTAAAAAATTAGTCAACACAGACTGAAAAACAGGTAAAGACTGACCCAGGAATCAAACTGGTATACTCAGACTAGTTAACACAGACTCACACTGGTAAACACAAACAGACTGTGTTGGCTAATTGGTCAACACATACTAAAAAAACAGGTAAAGACTGATGCAGGACTCTTAACTGCTAAGCACGTAAACATAAACCCTGAAGACTTAAACAGGTAAACAGAATTAAGTTAGTCAACATAGATTGAATAACAGGAAAAGACTGACCCAGGAATTAAACTGGTAAACTCAAGAGTAGTTAACACAGACTCAAACTGGTAAACACAATCCAAAATAACTCAAACAGGTAAACAGATTCAAATTGGTAAACACAGACTGAAACAAACAAACAGATAACTACAAACCCAAGACTCAGACTGGTACACACAAGCCCAAAAGACTCAAACCGATAACCGACTGTGTTTGCTAATTAGTCAACACAGACTAAAAACAGGTAAAGACTGACCCAAGACTTAAACTGGTTAACAAAGACTGATAAACACAGGCTCAAACTGGTAAACACAAACCCAGAAGTCTCAAACAGGTAAACAGACTCTTAATTAGTCAGCACAGACTAAACGGATAACAACAGGGCCAAGACTCAAACTGGTAAAACAGGTCAAATATCTATGTTGTGGTTCTCTCTCTGTGTGCAGGATAACCGCAGTCTGAAGGAGCAGAACGACGAGCTGAACGGTCAGATCATTAATCTGAGCATCCAGGGAGCAAAGAGTCTTTTTACAGAGTCACTCTCAGAGTCACTCGCTGCCGAGATCAACAACGTCTCCCGCGCTGAGGTCTCTATCACACTGTTATGCTTATGTATGCTATTGATATGAACACTTTGTGATATTTAATGTGTGTTTGTGTACAGCTGATGGAGGCCATCCACAAACAGGAGGAGATCAGCTTCCGCCTGCAGGACTACATTGATCGCATCATTGTCGCCATCATGGAGTGTAACCCCTCCATCCTGGAGGTCAAATAATCACCATTGCGACAACCCTGATTTATGAACTGAAACGGGAGGCGAGAGGCATAAAGAACAGACTTGCAGATGATGTGAAGAATCCAATCATTATTTTGATCAAATAATTTAACAATTCAGAGCACTGTTAGTTGAATGAGTGTGTGTGTGTGTGTGAACGGCCCTGTCCTTCGGTTCCTGTGACTTCCCTGTGTTTTGGGATTGAGGCGCCAATTCCCTCTGTATATGTGTTCACAATTCATAGATTGAATTTCAGTGTAAGAAACTAGTTTAAGTTACCAGTGTAAGTCTGGTTTAAGCAGTCACACCGTTAGCCCATGTGAGGGACATTTGCTGACCTGAGGGTTGAGCGTGTGCGTACGATTAGCTCGTAAACGAGTTTTTGCAGAACGTTTTTTTCTTTCAATTCTTATTTATTAAGATGATGCAGAACGCAAAGGATCAAGGGAGGCCGACGCCCACCAAGGGAGCTCGCAGTGTTGCATTGTGGGTAAGGTAATCGGTCCTGTGCGATTTCTCGCTGAGGATATCCGTTAGCCGCCTCCTGTCCTGGATTCTTTCCAACAGACTTTGATTTTCTGTACAGAAGACTCTTTAAATCTCACTGGAAATGTTCATTGCACTCTGATTAATTTTATTTTGAGATAATATTGTTTGCTATTTAAATTGTTTGAAAGAAAATGAGGGTGAAGTTGTTCTATCAACGTTGGCGGGAAAAAGAAGCGGGCACGAAAGGGAAATCGAACCGTTAACAGACACGCGGGGAAAAAGGACTTTTGCTTCTTTCTGCTTTTCAAAACTCTCTCTGTCTCTCTGGTGAAATTTGGTGTAAATATCGATCTAGAACGTTTGTATTTTTCGTTCTTGGAATCGTATTTTTATGGACAAATGGAATTAAGGTTCCGTTTCATTTGTCTTCCACTCTGTTCCAGCAGCACGCCATTATGGAAGTACATCCCTCTCATCCGGCACAAGCATGTTTGATTTGTATTTTTTTTTTCCTCCGGAAAATCCCAAGCTGCAGTTCACATGTTTCTTTTCCCTCTGGTTTTAAGACCCGTCCTATCAGTTTTTCTTATAAGACGATGTTGGAGAACATTAGAAGACGATTCCACTGCTGTCACGTCTGTATGGCTGTTTTAAAGCTACTGGAATGATACTGATGGACCTTAAAGCGCGGGAACTTTGCTTCTGTAAACTTTTGAATACACGTGCGTTTACCGCCGGCTGCCTCGTTCCTTAATTTCCTTACAGAGACGATAAGGAAAGGCCTGAATCTACTGCTCTTGACCTGTCTGATGTTAAACAGCTGTTTTCAGTGTCCAAAGACAGCATTTCACCGCTTAGAAGGAGTTCTGCTTGCCACTTAGACTTTAAAAGACTAATAATAGTTATAAATACATGTTAATAAAACAAAAAAGTACTCCTCGTAATGAAGGATACAATTGTAAAAAAAAAAAAATGTTTACTCTAATTGTTGAGGTTACTGTATAAATGAAAGATATCAGTATTGTCTTCTGTTTTGCTTTCTTTTGAAGATGCCCCTATAAGATGTATCTTTTACAGTTCGGGGTTTTAAAGATTTTCAAATAATTGTATGAAGGTTAAAAGAAAAGTGAAAATAAATTAGTCACCAATAAATTAAGTGCAAATAAGTTCTTTGTGGATGTTTCTTGTTTTATATACATCACTGAACCGACTTCACATAAACACCAAACTAGAATAGAATAGAACCTACCGGTGCGAATGCAAGTAACATTATCAGAGACATACTTTTGGGCCTGTGACAACGTAACGCTACAAAATTACACATCCATGTACTTTTCAACAAATTATGCAAATAAATAAATGAGAAAATAAAATGGAAAGACAAAACGAGTTTTTGCAGAACGTTTTTTTCTTTCAATACTTATTTATTAAGATGATGCAGAACGCAAAGGATCAAGGGAGGCCGACGCCCACCAAGGGAGCTCGCAGTGTTGCATTGTGGGTAAGGTAATCGGTCCTGTGCGATTTCTCGCTGAGGATATCCGTTAGCCGCCTCCTGTCCTGGATTCTTTCCAACAGACTTTGATTTTCTGTACAGAAGACTCTTTAAATCTCACTGGAAATGTTCATTGCACTCTGATTAATTTTATTTTGAGATAATATTGTTTGCTATTTAAATTGTTTGAAAGAAAATGAGGGTGAAGTTGTTCTATCAACGTTGGCGGGAAAAAGAAGCGGGCACGAAAGGGAAATCGAACCGTTAACAGACACGCGGGGAAAAAGGACTTTTGCTTCTTTCTGCTTTTCAAAACTCTCTCTGTCTCTCTGGTGAAATTTGGTGTAAATATCGATCTAGAACGTTTGTATTTTTCGTTCTTGGAATCGTATTTTTATGGACAAATGGAATTAAGGTTCCGTTTCATTTGTCTTCCACTCTGTTCCAGCAGCACGCCATTATGGAAGTACATCCCTCTCATCCGGCACAAGCATGTTTGATTTGTATTTTTTTTTTCCTCCGGAAAATCCCAAGCTGCAGTTCACATGTTTCTTTTCCCTCTGGTTTTAAGACCCGTCCTATCAGTTTTTCTTATAAGACGATGTTGGAGAACATTAGAAGACGATTCCACTGCTGTCACGTCTGTATGGCTGTTTTAAAGCTACTGGAATGATACTGATGGACCTTAAAGCGCGGGAACTTTGCTTCTGTAAACTTTTGAATACACGTGCGTTTACCGCCGGCTGCCTCGTTCCTTAATTTCCTTACAGAGACGATAAGGAAAGGCCTGAATCTACTGCTCTTGACCTGTCTGATGTTAAACAGCTGTTTTCAGTGTCCAAAGACAGCATTTCACCGCTTAGAAGGAGTTCTGCTTGCCACTTAGACTTTAAAAGACTAATAATAGTTATAAATACATGTTAATAAAACAAAAAAGTACTCCTCGTAATGAAGGATACAATTGTAAAAAAAAAAAAATGTTTACTCTAATTGTTGAGGTTACTGTATAAATGAAAGATATCAGTATTGTCTTCTGTTTTGCTTTCTTTTGAAGATGCCCCTATAAGATGTATCTTTTACAGTTCGGGGTTTTAAAGATTTTCAAATAATTGTATGAAGGTTAAAAGAAAAGTGAAAATAAATTAGTCACCAATAAATTAAGTGCAAATAAGTTCTTTGTGGATGTTTCTTGTTTTATATACATCACTGAACCGACTTCACATAAACACCAAACTAGAATAGAATAGAACCTACCGGTGCGAATGCAAGTAACATTATCAGAGACATACTTTTGGGCCTGTGACAACGTAACGCTACAAAATTACACATCCATGTACTTTTTTCAGCAAATTATGCAAATAAATAAATGAGAAAATAAAATGGAAAGACATTTTAAAAAGCTGATGCAATAATTGAAATCCCTTGGCCTATGTTATTTATCCACCTTATTTTGCTAAATGAAGTGCCATAAACGGTAAAACTATTTGTGATACAAATCAGTGTGTTTATGATAATAAAACAATATTACAACAAATATATAATTTTGCAATATCAAGCAGCATGACCGGTTGTTTCTGTACAAGTAAAGTAACCGGAAGCTAATGGCACCGGAACTCTCGCCCATTCAAGTTACAAATGGCCGCGCCCGTTATTACATTAAAATTAAGGTGAATTAGCAGACAAGTTTGCTTAAAATAATACTGATCAGTTGCTTATTTTCACAAGTCACATGAGTTCTGTTTAATTCAGTCCTATTATCAACTAAAGGCTGTTGCCCATCATAGAATACATATGTAGTGCATATAGCAGTTAATGTTTCAGTAAATCGTACAGATGTAGGTGATTGATTAATTAATTATATTGATAATATAATATCATCAATATTTATGCTGTTTGTTCACATGTAGAAATAAAAAGGAATTATTTTAAAGTACTATTCAGTTTTTGGGAAGTACAAATGCCTTTGTAAGGATTGATTAACTTATTCTTGATGAACTTGATAATAAATAAATGAACAAAAAGTGATTAACTATGAACTAGAATACAACAAGCCTAAGAGGGTTTACGTGTCCTGTAGCGCTGTCTAGTGAACTGTTATGGAACTGAGTTACCGATAGGAACGTTTGTTCTGACAAATGTGCTTCTACACGGACACGTATTAGATAGGGCTGTTCGATTCCGAAATTTTTGGAATCGAATCCAATTCCTTGTTCTGGAATCGATGGGAATCGATTCCTCAATGTTTTTTTTATTTTTTTTTATTCAACAATACAAACATTAAAACATTATGGCAGTACAATTATCAAAATCATAAATAAAGACAAGATAAAAACAAAAACAGGAAAAACAACAGAATATACACACAGATTTGTTGCCAGGGTAACAACAACAAAAAAACAAGGTAATACAATGACATCTTAAGAAGACAAAAAGGACGAATATAAAGATACTGTTTTCATAGCTTTCAAATGAACAGAACTTTGGATAGTTTCCACATACTTATCTAAGTCCACTTTAAATAAGGAGAAGAGAGGTTTAGAGCCAGTAAACTTTTGTTTATGTATGTGAAATTTAGCTAACAGGAAACATAAATTAATTATGTAATATTTTCCGGTGTTCTCTTTTGAATAGTCAAACAATCCAAAGAAAGCATCATTAAAACAAAAAGAGAAGTCACTTACAAAAGATTGAATAAACACTAAAAAGTCTGACCAAAATTGTTCTGTGTAGGAGCATTGCCAAAACAAATGAATGAAGTCTTCTTCAGAAGAATGACAAAAACAGCAACTCACTTCAATGTCTGACTTATATTTCCTAAGAAAGACTTTAGTTGGGTAACATTTGTGAATCAACTTAAATGTTATTTCTTTTACTTTATTGGTATCTATGAGGCAAGGTCCATACTTTCTCCCAAGGTATATTTCCCACAATGCTATTCCAATAAGGTATTATGTAAGGAATAGTTGTTATCTCTCTCTGAAAAAGAGGTCTAATTTTATAGTTATTTGTTTGTTGATCTGTAGAAAAGCAAACACTTCCTATCATTGTGTCAGTTAAATTCAGAGCGCAAGTACATGGCCATGGAAGTGTAGTACCTTGCAACAGAAAAGACATACCAGCGGGAATGGCATTGAAAACAACAGCATATTCATCAGCAGATACAGGAATATGATATTTCTGTAAGAAATCAGAGTAGTTGTAAAGTCTGCCTTGTGAATTAAAAAGCTGTCCAACTTGTCTAGTTTGACAACTAGAACCAGTTGTCAAAGAAAAGTGATTTTTACCATTTATTCTTGTAAAGAATATCCTTATTGTTCCATAAATAATATCTGTGCGGAGAAAAGTTGTGTTTGTAAATTAAGGACCCAGCCAAGAGCATCTGCTTATGGAAATTAGAACGTTTATCTGTCTATCTATACTAATGATGTGTTGTGTCTCTTTTACACACAGAGAGAGTGCGGGTCTGGAGCGATGTGCGTCTGTACTGGAGCTGTTCCTCTCTGCTGGTCGTCCTCAGGTGTTGTTGTGGTCCAGATGTGAGGTGGGCGGAGCCTATTTAGACTCCCCAGCTAAGAGAGACCATTGTCATCGGTCACCTTGCAGCTTTGCCCTCCATTACCTGCAACCATCTGCATGCAAACACACCTGACGCCTTCCTACCACAGCAGTACTACCCGCTGCTGGCCGCCAGCATACTGGACACACTGGAGAAGACATGCCACGCTCTCAGAGGTATCACACACATTCAGGGTGGAAATACTTGTAAATAAAGGAATAAATAAAGCACATGCTTAAAGCATCATTGCATCCACTTCGTATTTTAATGCATAATTGCAACCGCCACATATGTAAAGCATCACTGCAACCACTGCATATTTTAAAGCGTCATTGCAGAAATTGCATAATTTACAGAACCATTGCAACCACTACTTTTTTTAATGCATCACTGCAATCACTGCTCGCATGTCAATGCATCATTGTAATCACTGCATATTATGTGTTATATATGGATGTATCATTGCAGCCACAGAAAATTTTCATACATTGTTGCAACCACATTCTGTTTTAATGCATAATTACAACCCCTGCATTCTTTAATGCATCATTACAGCCACTGCATATTTTAATGAATCCTTATAACCACTGCAGATTTTAATGCATCATTTGGAATCTTTGATGAATAGAAAGTTCAAAAGAATATTATTTATTTGAAATTGAACATTATAAATGTCTTTATTGTCACGTTTGATCAATTTAATGCAACCTTGCTGAATAAAAGTATTGACTTCTGTTTTTTTCCCATTTCTCCTTAAATTCAGACTCAGTTGTTAAAGTCTGTTCTTGGTTATTTGGCTCTGGATTCAGAGCTCAGGACACTGCTTAAACAGGTATGATGATGGTCTGTTGTGTTAGTAGTTGTCCTGTATTTATTCTAATAAGTCATTTTTGTATGTAATGCAAAAGAAGTTGTGTAAGAGAAGTTCTAACTGGTGTGTTTGTTGTATACTATTATACTACTATTTTTAATTCCTGTTCTGAATACCTTTAAATTTAAAGGATTTGTTTGTGAAGTTAGCGGAACTAAAGTGCATATTTTATTATTGTTTTTTAGTCATATTGATATATAATCACAAAATTTAGGCAGCTCTACAAACAAGCACAGCAAACCTGAAATTTGAAATTGCATTTTAAACCTCAATTTAGAATCAGAAAAAATTACAATTTGATTTATTCCCCAAATGGTGCAGCCCTATTAGGAGTGATGTGCACTTCATATAATCACTGATGTTTTTGCTCAGGTTGCGTCTCAGATGGGCCGAGCTCTGCTGGATTTAGTTTGGCCCATGCGCTTCCACACTGACCAGTAAGTTTGTGTTCTAGGATGCATTATATTACATGCCTACATCTAATGCTCTCTCTCTGGCTTTAACTGTAGGATGGTGCGGAGGGGCGTTATGTTTGCGGTTTGTGCTGTGTTTCTGAGCATGCCTGCTGAGAACTTACTCACAGAACTTGGTGATGACCTGATGGAGACCAGAGCCTGGCTAGCAGGTACACAGTGCTTGTTTGACTCTGTATGTGTTTGAGTTTGTATATGTTATTCATAAATGTCTTATTATGTGCAGATGTGGCAGAGAATGAGTGTGACGCAGACTGCAGGAGTTTGGCGGTACAGAGTTTCATGCTGCTGGACAAAAACCTCAAAACTCAGCTGCAGATCCCAGATATGGAGACCTGAGGAGGGCTGACAATATCTCACACTCATCTGGAGAAGATTTTATGATCATGACATGCATCCCTAATTACTATGGCATTGTTCCTTGGATTTCATGTATTGTGTTATTTTTGTACTACTAATATTTAGTTACTGTTAAATAAAGAGCTTTTTGGGGACATTGAAGACTTCTGTTCACTTTATGACTTCTGTTTCATTTTATGCTGTGGAAAACTCATAATTTTATGTCTTAGAAAGCATTTTAGTCTGATGCGAACAGCTGCAGATATACAGCAGGGTCACCAAACCCAACAAGGCATTAATAAAGGTTACCAAAATCTGTTATCCCATTCTATTAAAATTCAAACTCTTTTCAAATTATAAATAAAAGTTAAAATGGGTTGGTTGTTCATGACAAACTATTATCAAGCTGCAGTTACCCTAATCCCCCCCCACATGTGCTGAAACCATAATAACAAAACGCACCTCATTAGCCATTCCACTCGCTTCACCTCATTGGTTGAGACGCAGCGCTCACGTTTTAGCTCCGCCCCTTCGCGCTTCTTGGGGTTGTCTGGGCAACCGAAAAAGACGCTTCACGGCTAAAGGCGCGTCGTAAACATCTAAGGGCTAATTTCATCTTTCTATTGTCTAAATCATACATATGCAGCGTGAAAAACACACGGTCATAACGGCAGTGCTGAGTGGAAGAGCTCTCAGGTAAATTCTTTAAACAGTCGTTATTTGAAAGGTTTTTTAAAGCGGCAGGCCTCGGTGTGGATTAGCTAACAGAGCTAGCGACAGATTTACTAACGTTTAAAACGGATGTAAACAACAGTTACCATTACACTTAACCATTGACGCTGAAATAGCTTAAAATATCATCACAATAGTTTTCCCAGCTTTAGAAATACATCTTATCTACAACTTTATCAGCGCAGCAAACCGTTAACTTTTAAGGAGTCACAATTACATAAAAATACCATGGTACTACCATGTTTTTTGATCATAGTAGCATGGTAATGGTTTTAGGCATTATGCTATGTTAAGTGCCTCGGATTATCATTTTAATACCACTGTATAATCATATAGTATTTATCAATGGTATCATCGTCTGACCCTCACTGTACCATAGTACCATCACAATAATTCCTGTTAACCAGAAATGTTATGTAAACCATATAGAGAGTGTTTTTTTTATATTGTAGCTGTCATATTTAGGTTCTCAATCAATATTGTCAGTGTTAGATTGCTGTTGTAAGATGTGCCTTGTGATATTAACACACAGTCTGATCATTATTTCTGTAGTTTTGTAGGTCATGGCTGTGTATTTTGATCATCGTGTCGAGGCCCCTGACAGCAGTGGAGCGGCTGTCCTGATCTCATGGCATTCCAGTGTGTGTGTGCTGGCCGTGGGCTCTGTGAACGCCTCCACCGGGGGCTGCGTGGATCTTTACCTGCAGCAGGTGAGAGAATATTTGATTTTGTATGCAAGTTTTACATTACTATACATTTTCAATAACACAATAGACTACTGTTCAAAAGTTTGGGGTCTGTGAGATGTTTTTGAAAGACTTTTCTGCTCACCAGGGCTGCAATTATTTAAACAGTAAAAACAGTAATATTGTGAAATATTATTACAATTTCAAAAACCTGTTTTCTATTTCAGTATCTTTTCAAATGTAATTTATACATGTTATGCAAAAGCTGAATATTCAGCATCATTACTCCAGTCTTCAGTGTCACATGATCCTTCAGAAATCATTCTGATATGCTGATTTGCTTCTCAAGAAACCTTTCTTATTATTCTCAATGTTGAAAATGGTTGTGCTGCTTCATATTGTTGTGGAAACCGTGATGCACAACCAATTCAAAAGTTCGGGGTTAGTAAGTAAAAAAAAAAAAAGACATTAATACTTTTAATCAGCAAAGATGCATTAAATTGTTTAAAAGCGACATTAAAGACATTTGATCTTTCTATTCGTCAAAGAATCCTGAAAAAACATTTCCACAAAAATATGAAGCAGCACAACTTGATAATATGAATACATTTTTCTTGAGTAAATCAGCATATTAGAATGATTTCTGAAGGATCATGTGACACTGAAGACTGGAGTAATGATGCTGAAAATTCAGCTTTGATCACAGGAATACATTTAAAAATAAATAAAAATATAAGACCGTTATTTTAAATTGTAATTATATTTCATAACTTTTAACAGTATTTTTGATCAAATACATGCAGCCTTGGTGAGCATATAAGAGACATCTTACAGAAACGTTAAAAAATCATTCCAAACTTTTTGAACGGTAGTGTATGTATTGTTTTATCATTTTAGTTGTAACCTAACGAACCTAATAGTTCACTTAACATTTAATAGTTCAATTCAAATGTTATTTTACGATCCACTATTCTTTCCTGAAATACAGTATTGTCAATGATGACGTTGAGTATTAATGTGTTCTGTAAAATCTGTCTGTTTTAGGGGGAGCATATTGAGCTGTGTCATGTGGAACGGGGATTCAGCCCCTCGTTGTTGCAGTGGCACCCGACTAAAGCCCTGCTGGCGGTGGGATGGGAGACGGGCGAGACCATGCTCCTCTCACACCCCTCCGGTGAACACACACCCCTGCCCAACAACACACACACCGCCTGCATCACAGTGCTGGAGTGGAGCAGTAACGGCAACAGACTGGTCACAGGAGATCAGGTTACACACATTTCACTATGTAATATAATAAATGCTGATGTTTAGGGTTCATATGCACTGAGGTGAAAGTATGCGCATGTGTGTGTGTGTGTGTGTTGCAGGCAGGTGTAATGGCGGTGTGGAGGGTGGACGCTAGAGGGAAACTGCAGGGATCTCCTCTGATAAAACATGACTACAGTAACCCACTGACATGTTGCATCTTCAGACCTCCACCACCTGCTGAGTGAGTCTCATTTAACCCTCACATCAGTGCTATAATGATTTCTCAACAGTTTAGTGGCAGTACTAGTTCTAGCTGGACTAGAGAGGAAATTTTGAGTTGTGAAAGTTAGAGTGTATGTACATAGTACGTCAAAATCTTGTATTGGAGTTGAATGATTACTGTAAACTTATTAGATTTTTTTTTTCTTAATTGTAGCGATTGTGCACTTGTTGTGAACTTCAAATCTTAAAAGTATATAAAAAAAAAAACTACTTGCAGATAATATAATATGAATAAAATGAAAGGCCACTTTGGTTTAGCTAATTACATTTAATATAAATGTAAATTATAATGCATTTTATTGTAATTTAATTTAACTGAAATTAAGAAAATATAACACTTATATACACTTGTATATCCTTTTAAAGTATATTATTTTCATAAGAAGTATTATTTTTCACAAGAGTTGCTATTTTTTATATGCACTCTATCTGGCATAAGAATCCTACAGTGTGTGTTTATATCGGTAGGGATGTGGCGATGCTGGCCCGTGCTGCTGTCAGCGGCGATGAAAGTGCTCTGGACATGTTTAACTGGAAGAAGAGCAATAAAGGAGGGTTTGCGCTGGGATCACAGGAAGGACTGGCATTCTACATCAGTACAGCTGATGGTGAGAGGTGACAGGATGTTTAGCAATGATGTTCAGGTGCTGTCGGTTTGTTCTAACCGTGTTTGTGTGTGTTATTTAGGGAGCGTGTACAGCGTGGATGAGCAGGTGCGGAGTGTGCCGTTGCTGTCCGTTGAGAGTGCGGTACAGAAGATGTGGTACTCCAAGAGGAGGGCCGTTCTCGCCGTGGTAACAGACTCACTGCTGCTCTCTCACTTCAGTCTTGGACCGGAAGGAATCGCTCAGGAGATCAGTAAGGTAACAGATCAAACTTCATATGTCTGTCCAATTAGATATCAGAATACAACCACAAAAACCAGACAAGTTCTTTATTTTTATCTTTTAATTTCATTTTAATTTTAGTTAAAGTTTTAGCAATTCTGTGTTTTTGCATTTAAAATGTTTTGTTTTTAATGTCTATATAGTTTTTATTACAATTTTAGTTATTTTAGTACATCAAGAAATTTAGTAATTTTGTTGTTTTTTACTTAATTTTTTCCCCTTTTTTCAAATAAATACAGAAATTTCAGTTTTGACAATATGGGACCTTTAACAGAAATCACAGCCTGTTCTAGTACACCCCCAAAACAAAATCAAGACTTTGTAAAAGAGCATAATAGGACCCCTTTAAGGAAAGGGTCAGCATTTCCATACTGTACACATCATTCACAATTTCTTGCCATTCACATACAAATGGGGGAATTTTTTTTTTGACATGTCTAAATAATTTACATTAATTTATTTTAGTTTTAGTTATTTTAGTACATCTAGTTAGGCTAAATGAAAATGGGAAATTTTGCCTTGGCAGCTAGCTGAAATAAAATAATTTTTAAAACTATTTTATTCTAGTTAACATTTATTATTATTATTATTTCAAGTAACAAAAAAGGTATGGTTTTATGGTTTAGTTTTAGCTAACTATAATAACCCTGGTGTGTGTACAGGTGAAGCTCAGTGGCAGAGGTGGGCAGCATGCAGACATTGTGTGGACAGAAAACGGTTTGCTCATCACAGCATCAGGAGAACAACACATTAGGTTAACAACAAATTTTAGTCCTCTGTGTGTGTGTGTGTGTGTGTGTGTGTGTGTTTTAAACCTTGTATATAAAAGTGTTTCTCAGTTCTAGTTTCTCAGCAGTTGCCCTGAGATGTTGCATGTGTTCTGATGGTGGTGTGTGTGTTTGTATAGGTTGTGGGATGTGGAGCTAGATGATCATTACGCTCTGACGCTGGATGAGTCTCTGGGCTTTGAGAAAGGAGAACTGCTCAACTGTGTTTCCTTTTGCACTTCTAAGCGTAAGATTTACACTGTTACAAGTCTGTGCAACTCTGAACAATGTACACACTTACACAAATACTGCCTGAGTTTCTGTATTGTTTTCCGTTTGAAATTGTTTTAAAACACTACCATTTGGAATCACTACGATTTTTTGTTTTTGAAAGAAGCCTTTTATGCTTACCAAGACTGTATTTATTTGAATAACAGTTATTCCTGCATTCTAATATACTGAATTGCTGCTTAAGAAACATTTCTGATTATTCTCAAAGTTGTGCTGCTTTATATTTTTGTGGAAACTATGATACATTTTTTCAGGATCTT